ACCACAACTGTTGACAAGGGTGAAAGTGATGGTCACCATGTCCAGGTCAAGTTCTATGGAGAGATGATGCATGCCTCTGTTTCTTCATGTTAAAAATATTCCTGAAAGGACAAACAGTGGTCTGTGTTTAATGTTACTTTTTATTATAATCTTTGTCAGAGTATAACATGATATGACTGACTTCCTTTTCTTGAAGGCCTTTCCTATCTTGACAACTTTTCTTTTAAAATTATAATCTACATTGCAGTTTGGGTGCATTGTAAGTATTCACAATTCTGGCCACAGGGTGGGACCCTCCACCTTCACAGTTAGCTGATCATTTCACTCAGCGCCTAAATTAATTTCCATTTCAACTTAACATAAAAAAAGATGGCAATTAAAAAATGTCCCTTGTGTCTTCTATGTAAAATAGCATTACCCATATAATACTGACCAAATGCAGTATTCCATTTTGGAAAAGCCATAGGGCGTTTTCCCTGAGCAGCAGCCGTGGAGCCAGGACTACGCATCTCAATGCTGAAGTGAATGCTCCGTGATCAGAGGGGTTCATCCACAGTGCTGATGGAGCCAGAGTGCAAAGCCACTTTCCTCCGTGTCTGTTCTGTGCCAGACACTCACATGGATTTTTATTCAATTTTTAAAACACCACCATATAGGGACAATTTTACTAATGAGAAAATTGAGACCCAGAGATTTAAATAACTCAGTTAAGGATAAACATGCTTTTACCATAAGTATTACCTCTGTTTTACCTCTGCTTCACTTGTGAGAAAACATACCTGGTATGGAAAGCAGGCTGTCCATGGACGGGTGGAGGGTCCCATGGATCTTGTTTCTCATGGATGATTTTGAATGCTCTTGTAAAGGTTTATTCAGCTCATTAATAAATATAATTTCTGTTTCTAAGTATAAGGGTCAAAAAAAGAAAAAAAAAACTAATCGATTTCTTTTGTCTGTTTCCCCTCTCAGACTTAAAAGTCCTTGTAAACACTACCATTTACCCCTCTATGTATTTCTATCCACTAACAAGATTTCACTAATTTTTTAAAATGTTTTATTTATTTATTTTTAGAGAGGGAAGGGAGGGAGGGGGAGAGAGAGAGTGAGAGAAACATCAATGTGCGGTTGCTGGGGGTTGTGGCCTGCAACCCAGGCATGTACCCTGGCTGGGAATCGAACCTGGGACACTTTGGTTCCCAGCCCGTGCTCAATCCACTGAGCTACGCCAGCCAGGGCTAAGATTTCACTAATTTTTATGAACAATTGAAGTTAAAAAGAAAACATCAAAATTCTTTTATTATTTTAAAATATAAGTTATTCGACTTATTCTACATTTAGATGGACTCATTCCTTTTACTCTTTCCTTATCAAGAACTAAATATCATCATTGTACAAATATTTACTGGGCACAGATTATCTCTTAGGTGTTGTTCTAGAAGCTCAATAAAGAACAATAAACAGTAAAGAACAGTAAACAGAATAACCACAAGTCCTTGTCTTTTTGGAGCAGATACACAGTTTAAGTTTGCAAGATGTTCGACCAAAGATGTATGTCAGAATTACCTGCAAAGCAGTCTATAGGTGCAGAGTTCCCATTAGGATCCTGGGGCATTTGTATGTTTTAAAAGTTACAAAGAGGATTCTGGTTAGGAATTTCCAACTGGAAAACTTTAGTGCAAGAAAGTGGTGATGTTCATATTATTTCTGTATTAAAACCATTCTTGCTACTCTTTTCTGATCAAATCCCCAACCTTTGGTCAAACGTGGAGAACAATTTGAGAAAACACAAAGCACAAAATTCTTGCTTTGATAATATGTGGTTTGCTTTGTATTTTAAATGTTGATTAAAATGTTGTAATCAATTTTACTGATAGAGTAATGCTTTTAATCCATTAACAATGTTGGCGTGTAAAGTGACATTATCAAAATAGGAATAAGGAAATGATCTTATTTTAATTTGAATAGACACCTGTACATCTCGCTGTTTTGTAAAATTTTATGGGATTATCAAGTATTCGAGTATCTTAAGCCACCACTCAAGAAACACACTCAACCATTATCTACACTGATTTAAATGTTGAATATTAACTACTTTTTATTATTAATTCTCATTTTAACAATCATATTTCTCATTTTTATTTTATTCTAGTTGTCCAAACATCAGTTGTCTCTCACTAGAAAGACAGAGCTTTATTGGCACATCCTTCTAGTTCTCAGCCTGACCGATGCCTCCTCGCATGGACTTGTGCTCAGCCTGTCTTCCGGTTAAGGATAAATCATGATTCCCATCTGTCCTTAACTCTTTAATTCCAGAAGATGTTTAAATATGCAGTGGTTTTCAGTTAATGAAATGCCTGGACAGCTGAGTAGTAAATTCTGTGCAGAAGTCGATTTCTGGGTCAGAAAAACTTAAACTCTGAAGTTATTAACTAGCATCAATTTGCATATATCATGCTTCATTGTTACTGTTAGGAAGTGCTTCATACCTCACTGTTAGGAAAGAAAGAAAGAAGGAACATGGGGGGATTTAGAGTAAATGGATAGATAGAATTCATTTGATAAATGTAATTAGACTTTAAACACCAACTTCATTAAAGGAAAAACAATTTGTAGAAGTCAGAGGAGGTTTAAGTAAGTCCTGAGGTGCCTTCTGTTGGAGGGCAGCCCTTCCTGCCTTCCTGCAGGGCTGGGAGGGTGTATGTCTGCACAGTCTGTGGCCGCCAGGGGCAGGGTGTTTAACTCTGAAGACAGGAGCTCAAGTTGAGTGTCAGAATGAAGTGCAAGGTAACAGCGGCCCCTCATTAATGTGCAGGTGAGGAACACCTGACGGTGAGCAATGGCATTACCAGGGTCACAGGCTGTGTTTCTCAGTAGCTCAGAAGGTCAAGTACACATTTATTTCTCTCCCCTCCATGCTTGCTTTCTCTTTTAGTAAAATTTGGGTTAGACACTATTTGGTAAGGAAAGAACCTTTGCTAGTGCTAAAACTTTCTTACCACCCTTGAGAACTTTGCAATAACAAATTTAAATAGATCCTTCCTTCCCTCCTTCCTTTCCTTTCCTTTCCCTTTCCCTTTCCCTTTCCCTTTCCCTTTCTTTTTCTTCTTTTTTTTTTTTTTTGCCTTTAGGGAGATTGTTTTTGATAAAACCACTGTGTCTGGCTCTAGTATTCCAGATAAATCCTAAAGCACAAAAGCAAAGTGTTCTCCTTCTCTCTCCACATGGAGCTGCTCAGCCAGCTGTTTGGAGGGGAGGTGTGTGTGCTGTGTGAAGGCCTGGGCTGTGGGGCTGGAGCCCTTTTTCACAGGGCAGTTTAATCACTCACCAGAATGAGCATGTTTGGTTCAGGAAGAGTTTCTGTTGTAAACAAATTAAAACTTACACAGGGTATCCTGACCTCAGATTACAAAATAGTCCATTTAGGGTACCAAAGATTTACCTGCCCTGGTGTAGGAGGATGCTTGGGTTAAAGAAGCTGTGTAACACAACACTATGGCTTTATGTCTCAGCTAAGAGTAAGGGTCTAACTTCATGATTGCTGTTTAAGAAATAGTTATTCATAGGTTGAATCTTTATTAATGGGAATAATACTTGTCTTATTATGTCAAGTTTCATCTTGAACATCACCCATTCTTCAGCACTTCCTCTTAACACTGTCTTCTGAGCACTGCCTTTCCCAACCATTCTGACCTGTAAGTACCTCCACCTTTGCCCCTGTAATTCAGCATTAGAGTCTGCAGCCTACTTGATGGGCTGGCTGATATAATTGGAAAAATGATAGACATATAGATACAAATGCTCTTGGTAGAAAGTCTAATACATGAAGGGCTGAAATAGTGAAATGGGAAAAAATTCTGTGATGAATGAATACTCTAGGAAGTCTCCAGTGGCATCTGTTATGTAGTCAGTTGCATTTTTGCAATTTATTTAGAAATTTTTTGATAGCTTGTGTTGGTGTCATCATTCAGTCAATTCTTCAAATCCCATTTCCATGTGAAGACTTCCATTTTAAGGTATTTACATTGCCACCACCCAGGAGTGTTCTTCTTGCCAAAAAGGTCCTGATGAATTCTTTCATCTTCTCCTTAGCAAAAGGTGAAGAGCCCTTTGGGATTTGTTGCTAATGTCAAGTTTATAAAATAATTCAACTATCCCTTAAAGAGATAGTCATTGAAGTGATATTCATCACTATCTCCTATATGCATCACTTGTGTTGCTCTAAGGCAGCGATTTTCAACAGGTGTGCTACAAAAATTTTTAAAACCCATATGACAGTACCAGACTAGTCAGGAACACTGACCTCTTTTCCCTTATATTGTCCAATAGAAAATGACAACAGCCATCACAACAATAACTGTCTTGTATAAATGTCCTGCCTTGAACAATCAATATATATATTTATATATATATATACATATATATAATGTGAACATAGAGTTACATATTTTATATATGTGATATATATATATAACTATATATATCATAGAGTTCCATCTTATTGGTCATGTCATATAATAAGGTTATATCTGATTGGTTAATTCTTAGATACCAGAAATCCTTATTTATAAGTATAGGCACCTGATTTTTTAAAAAAACCACTTGGAGGAAAAAGGGTGGGTAATTACTGTTATTATTTCTGTAAGTCAATCAAAATTATACCTATTTTTGTAGGGTCGGCAAAAACATAATACAGTTTTGGGTGTGCTGCAGAATTTTAGTAATTAGTTTATGTGTGCCATGAGATGATAAAGATAGAAAATCGCTGCTGTAGGGGAAAATAAAGGCAAGGTGTCTGGGCTAAATGTTCTTACTACCCAGTCAATGTCTGCAATTTAACTTCTGCAGAGTAAGTCTGCAACTCACATCAGTCATCCTGGACTGACCAGTACAGCTAAAATAAGAAAAAGTGAAAGTTGATTATCTAAATACTGTTCATATTGATGGAATTCTTATGAACAATTTCACTACAATGTAGTTACTCGTAACATCATTTCTTTTAGATGCTGGACTTGTGGGCCACTTCTCATTTACATACCTGCCTGGGGTGAGTTCAGAGAAACAAAGAACATTGGGTCAGAAGAAAGAGTGTAGGCACTCAGTCAGCCCCACCAGGTTACTTGAGGAGTCTCAATATTCCCATCTACAAAAGGGGGGCAATGATAGAACCTGTCTGAGAGACTTTGTGGTGACTAATGGGGTCCAGGTAGTGCTTGAAAGTGGGTGAAACATAAAACAATAGGAGCTATCATAATATCAATACATTATTGTTTTAAAGGTAAGTGAGAAGACAGGAGATAGAATGAATTTGCTGGAGCATCCATCAAGAGTAGGGAGTAGACAGGGAGGGCTACACTGCTCTAATGCGGGACTGATATAGTCTGGTCAGTGGTCCAGGGGATGCAGAAGTTTACTGTTCACCTAAAGCCCCTCAAGATCCTTAAAGGTGCTCCATGCCGTGTGTTCTACCTGAGGTCGCCATTTTCAAAGCCTCTCCTGTTAGCATCATTTCAGCTCACAGAAAGGACAAAGGAGTGTGGGCCAGCACGTGGGAGATTTGGAGTCAGGCATGGAAGTAGCCTCTGTCAGCTCCACTTGAAGTTCACTTCAAGGAAAGTGGTCACGAAGTCCTCCGAAGGGAAGGGCGAGGGGACAGGAATGCAGCTGCACCCATATGCCAGTGCTGGGGAAGCAGGTCCCCTCTCAACTCTCTTAGTTCTTTTCACTTAAGACTTAAATTAACAGGAGAAAATGACAAGATTTAATTACATGTGTCCATAGAGGGGGAAACAAATGTTTGGTAAACCCAAGTTTGCTGGGTCATCATCACAAAGGGTCACAGAGACTTGTGAATCCAGGGGTCTTGCTGGGTTACTCCCTGTCTGTCACACTTAGTTCATGTTAAACTACAGTTCTCTGTGATGCCAGCTCCCCCTGCAAGCAGGGGGGAGGTCAAAGTTTCTTCCTGATTCTTTTGTTTCTTAACAATAACCAGCTTAAAATAATTACTGTCCCAAAGAGACCTATTTGGGGGTAGAGGCAAACTGCCCCCCCTCACCACCATAGCTGAGCTTCCTTAGGAGATCAAAAGGACGGATGGTTCTTCAGTGGCTGGTCTGCTGTGGGAGGTTGGCACCAAGGCTTTAAGGAGCTCACCTGCTTTCAGAGCTTATGAGTCGAGCCTGCCTGCAGTCAATGGTTTTATGGGGCTGCTTTCATTCAGTGAGGGCATGGGAATAAACCATTTACAGGAGCACTTTCAATTCTTGGTAACCTGACTTTTAGCAAAACACCACCTTACGGTAATATCTATCCAAATTGAAAAAAATGCCTACAAAATTATAGAGCATGTACTCAGTGGATTTATGTTTTCCATTTTCAAATGTGGATAACATTAAGGAAAGTTGTGAACTTATTCATTCAAATATTTTTAAAACAAATAGAACAGTTTAACTGAGCCAGTGTTCCTAATGTTTGTCTAAATTAGAAAATTCCAAAATTCCTATCATTGTCTGTTACATTTTTAAAAATATTTTAAATTATTTTATTGTTGTTCAATTACAGTTGTCTGTGTTTACCTCCCACCACTCCCCCTCAACCCCAGCAAAACCCACCTCCCTCCTTTGCTTCCAGCCCCCTTTGGCTTTTATAATTATACCTTTTAAATATTTTCCACCAGGCTTCAGCTGCTGTGGGGTTGATATCAGAAACCAAAGGGGAAAAAAAAAACCAGCATCAGGGTTAGGATTAGCCTCTTCTCATCTTCATAAAGAGAATGTGAAGTTTTATTTTGCACATATAATAATTCTATCAAGGATGGTGAATTCTATCAAATATTTCAGGAAGAAATAATACTGATGCTATAGAAAGTCTGAAAGTACAAGAAGCAGAAACACTCCAGCTTACCTAAAGAAGCTGGTGTTACGCTGACACCAACACTGGACGCACACATCAGAGGAAAACGAGGCAGTCCCTGTGCCAATGGTAGGATGAATGTGGAAGTGAAAGTCCTAACCAAATATTGGAAAATCAAGTCAGTGAAGAAAAATGTGCCTTCTATATAAATGTATAAATATATACATAATTGACATTTACATATAAGGAATTAGGCGATATTTTTAAAACTTGTCTTTTGAGCAGCACAGTATTTCTTTGGAAGAACTGTTTTGATAAGCAGCCTCAGATGGCAAAGATATAAACTACAATGTGTAAGATTAGAATAATTTATATTCTTTCCTAAATCTACTAGAGTGAAAATATAGACCTCCCCCAGAATGTCAGCACTTAGAAGGTCATGGCGTCAAAAATATAGAAATTTGATCATAGTTTCTTGAAGGCAGGAGTTGTATCTGTCTTATTCACCAAGGCATGGCCTCAGGACCCGAGGAGTGCCTAAAAGACACAGATGTGGGTACCCATGCAGACTGAGACACAGACTAGGTTAAATATAGATACACTTAAAACCTAGGTGGAGACCCCTAAATAGGTACAGAGAAGATTCAGTTGATAGATAGTAAATCCCCGGGTTTGTTCAATGAATGAAGGATTATAGAAGCCTGGGCAGCAGAGAGGCCTCTGCAGACTCCGGGGTCATATAAAAACCTGCATATGGGGTGATGTCAATTTTCAAATGACTTTGGTTGTTCAAGTCAACAGAGGATGTTTTCCAACAGGATTTTTCAAAAGACAATTTTGACAGAATAAGAAATGTAATCCAATACAAGTAGACAGTTTCTTCTGTTGAACTTTTAAACATCAGGAATCCTGTGAGACAGGGCCTATTCCTGTTGGATGGTATGGTTGGTAGAAGCTTTGCTGTGTTCATTTATTGACTCATATATTTATTTTGTTGTCAATAGTTATTCCAAACACTGTGCTTAGCATTGGGTTTACAGTGACAGACAAGGGGGATAAGACACTGTTCCCTCAATGAGCTCACATTAGAGGTAAATCCGACACCCCAGGCTATAAGGTACACTCAGACGATGATGTTGCAGGAGTTGATACACAGGAAGTGGGTCTGAGAACCACAGTTACACACTATAAATATCTGTGCTCAATGTGTACAAAAACAACAAGAACCTAAACATCTTCTGCATATTAACTCAGCAACTGTTGAATGAGACTATCTGTGCTGGCCTCCTTCCACCTGCCTTTGTTGTTGGATGGTGATGGCAGTGACAGATTCTGTAGATGATGGAACACAGCACCGTGTCCAGGGGGTTCTAATGGGGGCCAGGGGCACCCTCCAAGAAGCACTGGCAGACACAGTGGAACGTTTTTAGTTCTCACAACGGTGGACACTGGTCAGAGGCTGAGATTCCTCAGTGCCCTATAGAATGAGGGACAGCTTAAGACCCTGCATAAGACACTGCAGAACAGTACACAAGACAGCTCAGGACAGTTCACGGGAGAGCTTAGGACCCCACACAAGACAATCCAGGACAGTATTGAGACAGCTTGGGACAGCTCAGGAGTATGTACTGGCCAGCTAAGGAGGGTACACAGGTCAGCACAGGAGAGTTCATGGGACAGCTTGGGACAAGCCAGGATTGTTCTTCCCAAAATGTCCTGGCTTTCCTTTGAGCTGCACTGGGGAGAGCAGGTCATTCTTTCTTCATCTCTGTGTTCTGAAAATCCTGCTCCAGTGTCTTTCCTTGGCTAAGCATACAGAGGGGAGGTCCATCCACACCATGGAGCACAGGACAGAGAGAACTGGGATCAGTGAGGAACAACGCTGTGTTCTGAGGGGTCTGTGATGCTAAGCCAGCCTCAACCAGAGGACAGTGAGGAGGAACCACTTCAGATCCATGTGGTTATAGGCTAGTACTCCAGGGTGGGAAAGAAGAAGAGGAAGAAGGTTTTCTTTATAACCTATTTGAGATGGGGAAAAGTTCCCAATTTAATTATGAGGTTAAGATCATTAATGAATTTAGAGTGTTCAGACTCAAGGCTGCCGTACCCTGTTGTAAAGTGTTATGGATTAGATTAAGGACTTTTCTGTTCCTTGGAAATTGATGGGAAGTGCCTTACTCTATTGAGGTTGAACTCTCTAATTTTAATGAGGTCTGCTCTTTGTTCCCTTAAAACTGAATCCAAAGCACATCCTTATCAATGCATCCTTAACCAGGTTAAATATTCCAGAGGACTGCCGTGGCTGGTGTGGCTCACCACACTGAGCACCAGCCTATGAACCAAAGGGTCACCAGTTCGATTTCCAGTCAGGGCACATTCCTGGGTTTCAGGCCAGGTCAGGTCCTCAGTAGTGGATGCATGAGAGGCAACCACACACTAATGTTTCTCTCCCTCTCTCCCTCCCTTCCCCTATCTCTAAAAATAAATAAATCTTTAAAAAAATATTCCAGAGGACTCTATCCTCTGGAAGTCTGTTTTTTAAAGGAAGTCTGCTCTGAACCCCTTGGATATTGCGATCAACTGTCTAAAAGATTTCACTTATCTCAGGTATGTCAGGCAACCCCAGGCTGTTTTATAAAGCATTGTGTTTTATTTCAGTAACACAATAAAACCTCGCTTATCAGGAAGCACCTTATCTGTGAACCTCAAATGGGTAAGACATGGTAAAAACCCAACCAGCAGATTTCCTGATTTCTGTGCCAAAAATGGAAAACTTTCCGGCTCTCCTGGGAGTCAGTTTATTCTCAATTTGTGTCCAGTTCTAAGAAGCTAGATTATCTGGGTATCTAGCTTGCAACTGATCGAAGAATGAACAGCTAGAACTGTTTTTAGTTGAGGTGGGTGATTGCGGCAGGAGACTACTAGCAAGGAAAATGTGTGTGTGTTGTGGGGGTGGGGGGGCATTGGGTTGAGAAGGAGGTAGGAAAACTTTATTTGAAAACTGTAAAGGAAGCCCAACACCATGCTCCTGTGACCAGGTTATATTCAAGGGGGTCATCCAGAAGGGCTACAGGTTCACAGCTAGTAAGAGAAGTTTGTAGCACATTTTACAAGATTCCTCTCAAATCTGTAATTTTTAAAGTTCTGTAAGTTAAGACTAAGCTATAGTTGTTTTTTTTTGGGGGGGGGAAG